TCCTTCTCACAAATATTGAGCTTTTGCAGGCGTTTCACTTGACGTAGTTGCAGGAACTGCTTATGATCTTTATAAGGAGTATCAACTCCTGAAACGTCGTTCGTTCATAATGCGAGGTGGCTATGGCGAACAGTGATGATGTGAAACATTTGGCAGAGCAGATTCAAATATCATGGAGTCAAATATCATGGAGTGGTGACGTGCTTAAATGCCCCCCCCCCACCCGTACTTAACTAAGAACACGGCGGAAATGCAATACGTCGTAACATCTGGTATTAGAAAAGCGATAAGCCAGTTAAATGTTGCGCTTGGGGGATATAGTTAGCTGAAAATGGTTGTTATTTGCTGAAGTTGCTGTTTTAAAGAATGTAAGGGGTAAGTTAGAGATATGAATTTTTACTCCTGGTTTGTTTAGCTCCAATAAAGAATAGACGGGTTCTTAAGAAATGAGCGAAAACCCGTTGTAACAGGTCGTATGTTCGACTGGATTCGAAACGCGTCAAAAACAAAGCTTGAGTGTCATCCTCTTTTTTGACATCAGTAGCGAATTAGTAACTTTTGGTAGAGAACAAGAGGAAATTCATCTATCAAACTCATAGTTTTGAGGAAGATGCCGTTCTCTTGTTTACACTGAAGTCAGATTCTGAGTCTGATCGTCGCTGCACGTTCGTTTCCTGTTTTTATTCGCTCTAATCCACCTGATTATTTCTTTTGCATTACTCTCATTCGCGTAACACCTGTTCTCTTCGATGGCTGCCAAGCACGGACACTCAGGTTCCGAGACGGTTGGCTTGAAGCTGATCAACTGCTCGATTCCTCAGTTCCGTGTCCGGTGCTCCTCAGACATATCCCATGGAGTATTCGACGCGTGTGCACAGGCGGATCCTCTCCGGACCCTTTCAGACGTTCCATCCAAGTACACTTCGACCTTTGCGTACTTTTTCCGGTTTGTGTACCCGTCAGTCATATGCATTGATTGATCAAACGCCGAGCAGGTTTATGATTCATCGTCGTTAAAATTAGTCTTCAGATCTTCTCTCTGCATTGCTTGTGTCTTCTTGCCTGCACATCACACCGATGAGAAAAAGGAAACAGTTTGACGTTGAACGTTGTGGTTTTAGAGTCAGTCGGTTTGGGCTTTGTGTTCTTATGCGTGTCGTTATTAGGCTTAATTTCTTCATAACCGCGCTGTCATATTTCTGCATTTACTTTGCTTCAGTAATGACTAATTATTGTTCTTAATTGTTTAGCAGCAGTTGTCATTGTTGGCTTTTCACGAGTTTTGACAAAACGTCGTAAGGAAATGATTTCATGATATAAAATCAGTTGACCGTGGTGTAGTGTGAAGAGATTTTGAGTTTGAAATTTGCCTCGTTTTGACGAGTTCAGAAGACATTACTGTGATCGTTGCTAAGCGTGGTTCTGTTGAGCGATGCTGAATCGGTGCGCATGACGAAACCATCGTGCGCAGTTGCAAAGACTCAAGGAAAAAGTGTTTATTTCGCAAGAACCAGCTGTCCTTGTGCTTTGCCCACCACCTTTATGTTCGCTTTCCGCAACTCGATACAACACGGTTACGAACTCGTTGTTGAAGTAACGGTAACGCTACCTCAAGTACATGATAGTAGAAAATGGGGAAGAACGGTAGTACAATTCATTAGTAGTTTGATTTGCATTTACCGTATCGCTATTCGACTACTCGTAGGTTTGCTGGCTTTTGAATTTGATGATTGCTAGTACTGGAATACTACTATTAGCTTATAATTTTATGTACTTGACGTACAGTTAGAACTGTACTGGTACTTCAGTACGGTAAGTGGTGTGGATAGTGTCGGAAGTATTCATAGTCAATTTCGATGGCTGCTTATCCTTTCGGATCGTGCTAGTAATAACATCAGATGGTATCTACATCATTCCTGATCCACTGTCTGAACTTCAGCAGTAGATAACTTCAGTTTGGAGAA